AAATTCTTTTAAATAAGGCAGGAATATATTATTATTATTATTTGTTTTTTTTTAATTCATTCATAAATTTATAGACGTAAAGTTCAATAGAATATATAGCTTTCACACAATTTTTTTGCATTCTAAACAAATTTAAATTGTAAATATTAATCTCTTGATAAAATTTATATTAAATATTGTGTAACAGAATTAGGGACGATAATTAAATGGTAGTGATGTTTATGGTGTTTTCTACGTTGATCTTCCATCGTTCTCATTTCCTTCTAATTTAGCAAGAAAAGGGGAATGTCCTAAATTATCTGCGTATTTATTTTTTTTTTTTAGTACGTTTGTTCCGTTTGGAACAGGCTAAGGTCGGAGACCATGCTGCCTACTGCGTATTTATTTTTACTGTCATTAACTATTAAATATAGATAAAAATGGTTACTTTCTGGCGATTGTGTTGTGAATAAAGCAAGACGTTTACGTTAAAATATATATTTATCCAATTCTAGTTTTAACGCCTTGGTCTCGCATACACTACGTCGGTAATTGGCGGTAACGGCGACAGGTTCCTGACCTAAAAGCATAATAATTATGATAATTACTGTACACACAGTTATTGTTTTGTATTGCATTTAATTTAATAAATTAACAATTACTGTATTATAGTTTTTTTTTTAATTGTAAATACGCCCATGGCATTGAAGAATTATCAGACGACTATAGCGTTGTAAGCATAGATTAAGCATAGTACCTATCTGTGGTATTCTATTTCTACGGTCGCAGATGTAGTTTGAAATAATAAGAGCTGTAAATATAGCTGTTTTATTAGCCAAGTTATGTCAAGATAATTAAGTATTACCTAATCATAGACGAAATAGAAAACACAGTAAATTAATATTTATTTTAAAAAAATTTTACGGTGCCATTGATAATTTAAAATAAAAATACAATTGAGAATATTTTAAAATCTTGGATTTTAGAAGTATTTGAATTCCGAATTGTATGTTTAAGAAAAATTATGTGATTAAAATTGGGCGGCTAAAGTTAATAATAAAAAATTGTGTTTCACAAAAACAATCGACATCAAAATTTGGCAAAATTAGTATTTTTGATTTAACTAAACTACAGAATTGATTTTGAACAAATTTCTATAGACATAAGGTAATTTATATATCGTGTTAAATAAAAAGAAAATCTCCGAATAGATTTACAACAGTTTACAACTGACAAACTTATCAGGTAACAAATATATAAGTCTTTCTTTTTGAAGTCTATTGAGAATTATAACTGCTACTAAAATATAGATGTATTTATTAATAAATTAATAAAATAAAACCTTGACTTCTTTATTGGTTGCAAATCCGACTTAGAGATAACCTCATCAGGGATGCGCATGCCCATTTTATTGATACGTTATCAAAACTAGTTCAAGTTCTAGTGTGATCGCACTGTTAAACGTATTTATTGCTTTGTTTATTATAATCCAGTTATTTAGTTACTACCTAATTGTCAGTCTGATACCGTAATTGTGATTGGTATCAATTTATTCTTTATTGTACAGAAAAGGCATTATATTAGAATAACAATTATATTTATTTTTTTTTTCAATTAAATTTTTTGTATATACTCTAGTTACTCTGTTTGAGTCATAGACTGTTTTATTTCCTCTTCTAATGTATATAGTTAATTATTTGTTACAGTAATATTTTTTAAGCAACTAACAATGGCAAACAAGCTGACGGCCCACTTGATGGAAAGTGGTAACCGTCGTCTATAGACATGAGCAGTGTCATGGACATAACAGACAATACTGTTTCGCTCATGATACCCCCTATGCGTTGCCATTCCTGAGGACTCAGGTGTTATTGTGTACCCTGTAAATTCACTGCCATATCCCACCCTTCAAACCGAAACACATAAAATACCATCGAATGTTTTTTAATTCGATATTTTATTTCATATGTATGTTAGGCTAGTGGACTATATCTCCATCAACTTAGGGGGTATCCCTATGCGTTGCTATTCTTGAGGACTCAGTTGTTATTCCTCTGCACCCTGTAAATTCACTGCTATATCCCAACCTTCAAACCGAAACACAGCCATGCAATAATTGTGTGTCCTATTCTTATTCTATGTTTGTAAACGTTGTGCATCAATCGTGCCAACATGACCGTGTGCACGTCGAGTTTCGCCTTTGATTTTCGAGTTCCAGCTCTTGCTTCACCGATGCATGCATACGCAGGTTAAAATGCTTAAGGTTGTCACCCATTATAACGCTCTGTGAGAGCACGCTTATAATGCAAATTTTAATTTTGTTTTTTTTTTTTAAATTAAAACTAGCAGATCTTGATTCTCAAAGGATACTCAATTGGCATTTTTTTTAACGCAGGGGACAAACGAGCATGCTGCTCACCTGATAGTAAGTGACTACCGCCGCCCATGATCATCCACAACACCAGCGGCATTGCAGGTGTGCTGCCGGCCCTTTTTTTACGTTATTTATTTACGGGATGAATTGAGACAACGATGTTGGTAGAGATGTATATTATAACTGACTTGTGACTGATAACATTAACAAATTAAAAATGATTTGATATATTAAATATAAATAAAACAAATTAGGATATTAATAATGGGGCGATGCATTAACCTAGCACGTGCAGTGGTAAATCAGTAATTATTAAATCTGTTAATTAACAATTTTCTTATTGCACTGCACGTATAAATATAGATATGACTCCATACTATGTTCGTAATGCGAACTACCAGTCCCATTGCTAGCAATATACCTTGTCAGGTCGAACTCCACGTGGTCTCCCCTGGACACAATCATGCTGAATTCCAGGTATATTTATCACGATGTGCTAATGGACCTGCCTTTTCATTGTCACCTATCATTCCTCAGTGGTGCCTCGCCAGTGTATACCGTTAGCGCAGACGGAGGTTACCATTCCATTATCATCCATTAAAAAAGACTGGTCTGCTAATATTTATTTATTTATTTCACATTGAATAATACAAATAAATAGAACTTAATTCTAATTATGTGACTATAATACCCATACAAATGTAAAATTATCTTGTACATAAGTAAATTGAAAAGAGTAGCTGTTGAGTTTCTTGCGAGTTATTCAAATTTGTTTAAATAAAAATTATTTTCATTCTATTATTAAAAATAAATCTCCTTTACATTACGCTACAAAGTCACTTACCATCAGGTGAGCCGCATGCTTGTTTGCTCCCTGTGTTATTAAAAACAAAACTTGCGATATTTGTACCCAGTAATTGCTGCAATACTCGCGATCGTTACTCCATCTCTCGGGGTTATAATAGTTATTTTTTTATTATTTTACAAGAACCATCAAAGGGAGACTTTGTACAAAAGTTGTCTACTTGGATACCTCTGTCCCATTCGTGTTTCTGCCGTGAAGCAGATGTGTTTGCATGGCAGTGTTTCGGTATGAAGGGTGAGATGTGAGTATCTCAGTTAATGGCTAATATAAAAAACAAACAAAAAGTATCTCTTTATACTTTGTAAGAATGATTTCTATGTATTTTGTAAATACATACATTTTCTGTTTAAATTAATTAATAAATAAAAATTTTGCTTAGTTTGAGATTATTTTTTTTTTATATTTATTATCACTACGATTATCTCTTACAACCTTCAGATATAGAAATAAAATTAACAAAATAAAAATACTAAACATGTTATTTATTTATTTAACAATTTATTGTACCAATATTGCATGAGTTATGGAAAGTTTTAAAGTTTACCAGAGGGAGACTTTGTACAAAAGTCGATTGCTTGGGTACCTCTGTCCCATTCATGTTTCAACCGTGAAGCAGTTGTGTTTGCATAGCTGTGTTTCGGTTTGAAGGGTGGAATATGGCGTGAATTTACAGGGTGCAGAGGAATAACACCTGAGTCCTCAGGAATGGCAACGCATGGGGGGTATCATAGGCGAAACAGTATACTCTGTTATGTCCATGGTACTGCTCATGTCTATAGGCGACGGTTACCACTTTCCATCAGGTGGGCCGTCAGCTTGTTTGCCATTCTAAATTGTATAAAAAAAGTTTTATTTTTTTATTTCTAGATACATAGAACCAAAACCGAATTTAATGGCAAGTTCTTTGTTGAATTGGAACATTTGGTATAGTGTAATATGTAACGACCTTTATACTATAGCGTTTATACTATAGCGCGGGAAATGTGTTGCCAGTTGGCGAGTAATTTCCCTAGAAAGGGGGAAATTTCAAAAGTACGGTTTTTACCATCGAATATAATGGTCGCAGTAAAGGTTATCATGGTGAGTATCTTTTGTGTAAAACACATGTATTTAAATAAATCAATAATTTAAGAAAGAAAATACTTAAATAGAGCAGGAGCTGAGTTATATTTAAAGTCTTTATAAGTTAATAAAATTAAATGCTAGTTGATGTACCGTAAGTACTTATATTTCTAATGTTAAATATAAACTCTATGACTGTATAATGGCAAGGACCAAATTCATGTAAGATTCAAATAGTCTAAAAACTTTATCTTGATTAGAATTTATGTCTCTTTATTATCATTCCTTTATAAACTTATGTTTGTTGAAAACTAATTAAAAAATACAATTCCGACTTTTCAAAATATGAAGAAAATTATATTTCAAAACTTTTTGGGCATTACTTCGTTCGCGTGGATTTAAGAAATAGAAAAAACAATCAAATAGACTATTTTTAAATGGCGTATTTACATAAACATACCTACTGTTATAGTTTTGGTGTGATGTTAGAACAAATACACAGACACTGACATAAAATCTCTAAAAATTCCCCTTCTATTGGTCTTATTAAAACCCTTCTTATCAATTTTTCTCTAATATTTCTCTTGTACAGACCTTTTACCTTTTACTCGTCCACTTACAATATTATTAGTAAGATAAAATAAATTATAAATTAACGACTTACCTGGCAACATTACTCCGAAATGGATACAGAGTACTATATTTAGTTAGTAGTGCATACCATAGGCTCGCGGCTGATTGTGTAGCCGGTTCACGGAACATTGTAATACCACGTCGCGATAATAACAATGTGATAAAAGAACACGTGTTTCTACCAATATTGTCTTTCATCAACACGTAGTAGTGTGTAAAAATATTGGAGAGAAAATATTGTACATTAAAATCTAGTTTGTGATGTATATATATTTTTTTGTAACGTCAGTATCGCGGGCAATGACACCACTATAAATTAAACTACGTATGTTTATATTTTCAAGTAATATCAATCGGAAACATTGACTTAATTTTTTTTTGTTTTTTCTTCTTGTATGTTATTAATATTACGTAGAAAAAAAAATAGGTTCCAATTTTAAAATTTAAAAGTACAGCTTGTTATTAAAAGACAGTGGATATATTTTGTAACAATTGTCAAAATCAAATTACCAACACTTTCCGAGGCGAAATTGGAAACGCAGCGAATTAACGCGTGTGCGATTCGCCGTTGGCCGATTTTTAAGATCCGTGACATTGTACTCGTATTGTTGAAATAAGGTTGTTTGTTTGTTAGCCACGTGTTATCGTCATTAGAATATCTAAAAACTTAATTGTATTAATAAAATAAACCGGTCAAGTGCTAGTCGGACTCGCGCAACAAGCGTTACGTACAAAATCATCAAGTTTAATTTTTTTTTTTTTGTGAAATAACTACATATTTACGGTTTTCGGATTTTTTCCTTTACTTGTACTAAATGACATTGCTTTTTTTTATTTTATGATTCTAGATCAACGGGAAGTACCCCATAGGTCTTAAATCCCTTTGTGAATATCAAAATATGCGATATAACTAGAATATAAACGGCCGTATCTTTTGTTTTTGATTGCGTCGATTTAGAAGCTTGATTTTTTCACTGCTTTAAGAGATTGCAGGCCTGAGTATATGATATTAATTTCAACTTGATACCTCCACGCGTTTCTAAGAAAAAGGGTCTTGACAGGCGAACGGACCGACGAATGGACAGACAATGAAGTGATCCTATAAGGGTTCCGTTTTTCCCTTTGTTCGTACGGAACCCTAAAAAGATATAATAATAATAATAATTTATTTACAATATATTGGTGATTGCTAGTAGCAGATCTTAAGTTACAGTTGTTCAGCAATATTTACCATTTCGGTGTGTAAATGTTTTTTTTTTTTTTACAATATCCAAAATAATAGTCATAATAACATCAACAAAACCAAAAACTTTAAATTACAATCACGAATAATAAGTCAATGTTATGCCTTGTAAAATGTCAAGTATCACAAATTATATCTATTCAAAAAGTCTTTCACAGAATAGAAACATCCATCAATTAGGTAGTCAAACAATCTTCCCCTAAACTGTGTGTTGGTCAAATTTTTAACATTATCAGACAATTTATTATATATTTCAATAGTCATGTAAAATAATTATTTCTTTGAAACATGTTAAGTCTCGTGTGTCGGTATTTCTAATTTATTTTGAATTATTTGACTTCTATTTGTGGATTTAATTACAGCATAAACATTACGTTGACATTGGTATTGTTAAATGTTAAAAAGTAATGCATGCATAAGTAAAACGTGACTTGCGAATTGCATGACATTTCCGTTGTACAAGTTTCCATTTATTTATTTTTTTTTTTTTAATTTTTTTATCATTATTCTTACTAATACTATAAATGAGAAAATGAGTTTTTTTTTTTTTTTGGATGAAAATGGTATGGTAACCCCGCCTGCGCTAACGGGATACGCTGGCGGAGCACCAGTGAAGGGTGATAGATGAGAATGAAAACAGGCCAGTTAGCCCATCATGATGAATTCATCAGGGATTAACCATGATAATTTCCAGGGAGAACCGCGAGGTGGTCGACCTGGTTGGGTATATTGCTAGCAATGGGATTCTCAGTCTCCATTACTAACAATCCCTTTTCGCACCGAGGAAATGAGTTTGTTTGTTTGTTACCTCTTAATGACTGAACCAATCACTATCAAATTTGGTATATTGTACTATATGGAACGAAGAAGAATACGTCTAGGCTATTTTTTAATACCGCTCAGTGAATATATCCTGAATACACAGACGAAGCCGCGGGTAAAAGCTAGTAATTTCATTAAATTTATATTAATATCATAACTTAAATGTATTTTTTTTATACGACTTAGAATGGCAAACAAGCTGACGGCCCACCTGATGGAAAGTGGTAACCGTCGCCTATAGACATGAGCAGTACTTTGGACATAACAGAGTATACTGTTTCGCCCATGATACCGCCCATGCGTTGCCATTCCTAAGGACTCAAGTGTTATTCCTCTGTACCCAGTAATCTACCTACCTACCTGGGCATGTGCAATCATTCCATCATTGTCAACATATCAGCCGTTACTGTGCACTGTTGAATATAAGCCTCCCCCTTGGGGGGTTTTTCTAGTAGTTGCCACACTTGCCAGGCGGATTGGAAACCGTAGTGCCCTGTAAATTCACTGACAAAACGTGTGGTGTCAACATAGAATATGCCACCCCTTCCTTTGGCAGCAGCGTCCCTTTTAAAACATCCCTTAAGCTTGACCACGGTCGCCGATCCGCCTGCCAAGCGTGGCAACTACTGGTAAAACCCTCCTTATGGAGGATTTTTTTCTATATAATCTAAATTATATATATAAAATAAAAAAATCTGATTGTTAAATAAGATTTATAGTGATAACAAAACGATACCTGTACTGGAATAGAGCTGACTGGAAGAAAATGCATGAATTAATTGCCCCGAAACGACAATATAGGAAACTCATATATATATATATATATATAAAAATGTGTGACTTGCATAGATACCTCTGTATGCTACAACGTCTGCTAATTTCGAACCGATTTCGATAATTCTTTTTGCAATCAATAGGATTTTCTTTTCTGCTGGTTCTGTAATAATTTTTTTTACGTGTCAATTTGTCACTTTTTAGGGAGCGAAATATTAAATTATTTGACTTAGTTTTAAAATGAAAATCAAGATTTTATGTTAGTACGAACTTAAGGTTAATCAGTAATTAAATAAATAAATAAAACAATTATTGTAAAAATGGAATATGAGAAATCAATGGATGGCAAAAAGCGGGAGCTGTTCTTTGAAGACGCTTTTGAAGTTGCTGGTAAGTAACTTTGTTTAGTAACAGAGAAGAGCAAAATATGTTATAACTAGGCCCTGTTAGGGGGAAAGGGATTGTTAGTAATGGACACTGAGAATCCCATTGCTAGCAATATACCCAACCAGGTCGACCTCCTCGCGGTTCCCCCTGGAAACTATCATGATTAATTCCTGATGAATTCATCGTGATAGGCTAATTGGCCTGTTTTCATTCTCATCTATCACCCTTCACTGGTGCTCCACCAGCGTATCCCGTTAGCGCAGGCGGAGTTAACGTGACCATACCATTTTCACTCAAAAAATAAAAAAAAAAACCGAAAATTTGCTGCCAAAAGTACTAATAGCCAATTATTTTCAGTCAAAACTACTTTTGACTGATTTTACTAGTCAGTAGTACTTTTGGTTAAGAGATTTGACTGCAATATATATATTGATATTTTTATATATATATATATATATATATATATATATATATATATATATATATATATATATATATATATATATATATATATATATATATATATATATATATATATATATATATATATATATATATATATATATATATATTGTCCATATCATTTATTAAAACTCATAATACTCCTCACGAGTTTAATTTCTCGAGATTTTTCACATAAAGGGAATGTATAGCTAAGTAACTGACTGGTAGCCTATCTGAGAGAAAATAACGACCATTTTCTATAGAAATGTCTGTTACAAAATATACTTTGACGACACAGCACCTTTCAAACGAGAATCCTCGCAAGCTTCCTATCCTGAGGACTTATGTACTTTTGTTTCCAGGTCATGGGAAATTCAACCACTTGGTGCTTTTCACCAGCGGTTTAATACTGCTAAACGTGTCAATGGAGTCTCTTGGTATGAGCTATGTAATCACTGCAGCCGAATGTGATTTGCAGCTTACCAACGAGCACAAAGGTCTGGTCAATGCTGCAGCGTTTATTGGTAAGTCAATATTGAAATGGCGTGAAATGCTTAATTTTGACTTAATACACGTGCAAAGCCATCATTATATGTTATCTATCCACTGCTGAACATAGGCCTCCCCCTTAAGGAGGGTTTTGTTAGTAGTTGCCACGTTTGGCAGGCGTATTGGCAACCGCAGATAGGCTTTGGTGATGTTTCAAGAGAGACGTTGCTGCCCACTCCTCGACCACTAGGTTTTCTTAGGAAAGAATAGGTACCATGGTGCCATGGAAAGGTACCATGGGTAATATAGTATATTTTATGATTTGGATCACTTTTAATCAGTTGGACCGTCAGCTTGTTTTTTTTTTTATACAACTTAGAATGGCAAACAAGCTGACGGTCCACCTGATGGAAAGTGGTGACCGTCGCCTATGGACATGAGCAGTACCATGGACATAACAGAGTATACTGTTTCGCCCATGATACCTCCGATGCATTGCTATTCCTGGGGACTCAGGTGTTATTCCTCTGTACGCAGTAAATTCACGCCGTATCCTACCCTTCAAACCGAAACACAGCCATGCAAACACAGCTGCTTCACTGTTGAGACACGAATAGGACAGAGGTACCCAAGCAATCGACTTTTGTACAAAGGTTCCCTTGCATTGTTTCAGCAGGTGATAACAATGCCATGCGATTAGTTAATGTCAGCTGTTCATTCATTGGACACATTTTTAGGGTACTTCTCCAATATTATGGTATAACGTATGTCAAAAGTACTTTTGACTGGTTTTGCTAGTCAATAGTACTTTTAACTGCTTAAGAGTTTCGACTGCAAGATATATACTACCCACTGAGATATAGATTTCGGCCTAGTTCGATGGCTAGTAGATCTAATTATATGTATGTAATTTATTATTCAAAGTTATTATTATTTATTAACCTTTACAAAAATTCACATCTCCCCTCTTAAGGAGAGGAGATGGCAAACTAACCCCCGGCAGAAACACAGTCGGCCGGGGTTCAGGGCCTCAGGGAGAGAAACCGGCGTACAATGCGGGCAGTATCTCAGAGCACCGCTTTCTGCATCTTTCCCGAGAGTGAGCCGCCTCGGAGTCCCAACCGTCTGAGATATTGTTCCAAACTGGTTGAGATAAGACCGTTCAAACGATTGGAATGAATGCGGTGGACGTCACCCCCCATATTTCGGTCACCTCGTGAGCAAGGCCGAGATATTTTCTCTTTTTCTCGGTTTCGGCTTTCACGAGGTTCTCGTCATGCGGTATGGTGACAACCACCAAAAAACACCCTTGAGGGCCCGATTCATCACCACGATATCAGGTTTGTTCGCAAGAACTGTACTGTCCGTGATGATGGATCGGTCCCAGTAGAGCCTGACGTGTCGCTTTCAAGGACCGGCTGGGGCTCGTACTTATTAAACGGCAACCTCTCATTCGCGAGGCCTTACTTCAGAGCTAGCTCTTGATGGAGTATTTTGGCTACCTGGTTGTGTCTGTGCAAATGCTCAGTGTTGGCAAGAGCTGAACAACTCGAAAGCACATGTCTGAGTGACTCTCCGGGATGGCGACATGCCCGACAGATGTCCTCAGTGCCATTCTTCAGAATGTGCTTTCGGTAATTGTTCGTCTTAACCACCTGATCCTGTATTGCACAGACAAAACCCTCGGTCTCTCCGAAGAGATCACCGAACTGTAGCCAGTGCACGGAGGTCTTCGTGTTTTTATTATTATTATTAAAATACATGTAAAAATGTTCTTTCTGTAGGTATCATCAGCACATCTTTCCTATGGGGTTACCTAGGTGACAAGTTGGGCCGCAGGACGGTCATGCTGCCGGCTTTGGTGTTGTCAGCCGTCTTCTCAATAGCATCGTCCTTCTCCACCAGCGTTTGGATGCTGGTGGTGTTACGGTTCTTAACTGGATGCCTGTAAGTTTAATTTTAACTTATATATATTACTAATATAAATGTTAAAGTGAGTTTGTTTGTTTAAGCGTTTCCTCTTGACGCCTTAACGTCTTTACCAATCATATTTAATTTTTTTTATACAACTTAGAATGGCAAACAAGCTGAGGGCCCACCTGATGGAAAGTGGTAACCGTCGCCTATAGACATGAGCAGTACCATGGACATAACAGAGTATACAGTTTCGCCCATGATACCCCCCATGCGTTGCCATTCCTGAGGACTCAGGTGTTATTCCTTTGTACCCAGTAAATTCACGCCATATCCCACCCTTCAAACCGAAACACAGCCATGCAAACACAACTGCTTCACGGTTGAAACACGAATGGGACAGAGGTAACCAAGCAATCGACTTTTGTACAAAGTCTCCCTCTGGTTTTAATCTCGGTAATTTCAAATTGTATAAAAAATTTAATGATTACAATGTTTTTGTGATAATGCCTTACAGTGTATCAGCGTCCAGTGCAACAGTGTATGCTTATCTTGGAGAGATGCATACGAACACGCGCCGCGCCTCGTCTATAGCTTGGGGCTCCATCTTTATATCCTTATCATTCATCATATTGCCAGGTCAGTCACAAGTATCTCATTGTAGCTTTATACCAGTTTTTTTTATACCGGTTTCAGGAATTACATTTCTGGATTTGATATTTGGTAACTAAGTTATAATTAAAGGGTTTTTTTAATGGTAATTTAAAAACCAGAGGGAGACTTTGTACAAAAGTCGATTGCTTGGGTATCTCTGTTCCATTCGTGTTTCAATCGTGAAGCAGTTGTGTTTGCATGGCTGTGTTTCGGTTTGAAGGGTGGGATATGGCGTGAATTTACTGGGTACAGAGGAATAACATCTGAGTCCTCAGGAATGGCAACGCATGGGGGGTATCATGGGCGAAACAGTATACTCTGTTATGTCCATGGTACTGCTCATGTCTATAGGCGACGGGTACCACTTTCCATCAGGTGGGCCGTCAGCTTGTTTGCCATTCTAAGTTATATAAAACAAAGGGTGATAATGGAATAGTAACCCCACCTGCGCTATCGGTATACACCGGCGGGGCTCCAGTGAAGGACGATAGGTGAGGGTGAAGCAGGTCAGTTAGCCCATCGTGACGAATTCAACGAGAATTGTTCACGATGGTTTCCAGTGGGAACTACTTAGAGCTCAACCTTGTTGGGTATATTGCTAGCCTAAACCGTCTTTAAAAAAAAACGTTCAAGCTCACTTTTTTACTTTAACCGAGCAGTAAGTGTTTTATATTATTCTCAATTTCGTGTATAATATAGTATATATCATATATGTGTAAGTATATTTGTTATCCATATATATTTATTCGTTTATATATGTAGTTTTAGTATGTATGTATATCAATAATTAGTAGTACCGCATTCGAGTATTGTGACACTTCCCTATGGTTGACTGGGAGAGAATGCTTTTAGCATTAAGTCCGCCATGTACACATATTTGTACTAATGAATAAATAAATAAATAAATTTATATGTTTTTCTCGTGAAATTGTTTTGAGGCCAGCAAATGTTTTCAATTCTATTTTATTGTATTATCAGAAGTAATTACGATTTACCATATTTGTAAGTATAGTAGTTCTTGTATCGTTATGAATTACGTCAAAGCATTACATCAAGTGATGTAGTTGGTATAAGTTGTTTTATCAACACGTGTTAAGGTCGGATGTCAACCAGTCAGTCATTCTTTATTCACATTACGTTTGTCTAAAACTGATTCGATTCATAGTTCGTAGTGTTTTTTTTTTTTTGTTAATGGACGATAATGGAATGGTAACCCCGCCTGCGTTATCGGTATACGCTGGTGAGGCACCAGTGAGAGACGATAGGCGATAAAAAGTACGACAGATGGACTATCTGCATTGTGACGAATTCTATGAGAATTTGTTATGTTGGTTTGCAGAGGGAACTGCGTGGATGTCGACCTAATACTAACAATCTCAATAAAAAATAATTACTCGGCGGGCTATGGAGAGAGCTGTGATCGGTGTTTCTTTGGAGGATATTTACAAAAGAATCAAAGTTACCGATATAATCCGAAAGATGAGCACGCTGAAGTGGTAATAGGCTGGTCACATAGCTCGATGAATCGACAACGGATGGGGAAGAAAGGTTCTTGAGAGGCGACCCCGTAGTCGAGACCGAGTGACGTCCTCAAATGCATTGAAGGGAGTCAGTAAATGCAGGTGGCTCAGGATCGTTCCTAATGGCAGTCTATGGGGGAGGCTTATGTCCAGCAGTGGACGGATAATGGCTGAAATGTTGATGATGATGAAGGCTATTATTAAAGCTACATTGCTATTACATACATACATATCTGTCACGCCTGTCTCACGGATAGGCAGAAACAATGGAACGCCAAATGCTTCGATTCAAACAAACCTCTTTCGCTTCCTCCACATTCATCAATCTTTTCATACACGCTCGCCGGTTACGGGCACTTTTAATTTGGCCCTTCTTCAGCACGTCGCCTATTTGGTCGACATACGTCCGTCTAAGGCGACCCCTACCGACATCTCCATTCATTCTTACTCGATAAATCTCTCTCGTAATCCTTCTTCCATTCATCCTCTCCAAATGACCGAACCAACGCAACATTCCCTTTTCTATTTTATGTCACTACATCGTCTTTCAGTCAACACTTCTCTCTATTTTACTTCTATTTATTTATTTAATACTTTATTGTACACATTAGTTATAAAAATATGACAGTGGTAAACAAAAGTACAGAGGCGAGCTTAACTCTGATAGAGTTTTCTTCCAGCAACACCCAAAGTGGAAAAGAGCATCAATGTCAGCGGATACAGCAGTGTACAATTTTTAAACAGCCAACATTAAATGAATTACATTATATTTTATCGTACAAATACACATATACATATACATAAATATATACCTACATCTATGCATATACATACACATACATACACATATACATACAATATACGTACATATATATAGATAAATAAATATATGTTCATAGAGATAGAAGATGCTCTTTATGTCTTTACAAAGTCTTACTTCTACTTTGCTATTATGAATAATATTTACTTATTCCTGCTTACGTACCTATTATGTTTGCTTAGATGTATATATTGTTGTGAAACTGTTGTGATTCTTTTAGTTTCTCAGTCAATGAGTCACGACAGCCGATAGTACGGTTTCGGTAAGAAATGCTATAAAACAAAATTTTTCGGAGTTTTTTCTGGAAAAATAGAAGATTAAAATCAGATGCCTCATTATCTAATATATAAAATACTCGTGTCACGGTGTTTGTTACCAAACTCCTCCGAAACGGCTTTACCGAATTTCATGAAATTTTGTGTGCATATTCGATAGGTCTGAGAATCGGCCAACATCTATTTTTCGTACCCCTCAATGATAAGGGTGACCCATACCCTAAAAAAATTTTTTTTATTTTTTTTGACAATTTTTTTTTTATTATTATTTAAATATGATTTAGCATTGAAAAATACATACAAATTTGCAAGATGACAATTGAATATAATAATTGTAGTACGATATATTTTCATGTATAGTTCTGAAAATAATGTATATGGTAAAACAACGTTTACTGAGTCAGCTAGTTTTTATATGTATAATGCCAACTTAGGATTACATTTAGGACGTGAAAAAGTTCATACGAAGTGCCACTGTCTTTCAGTTAACTGTCCACTGTTGAACATTGGGCTCCCCCATAAGAGGGGTTTTGCCAGTACTTGCCACGCTTCCCATGCATACTGTGTGTATTTATTAATATTATTGAAAGACGGGATTTTTCAAGCAAAAAAACCTGTAAAACTGCCAACTTTTTCTTGATCTTTTGTGTTCGCCCTTTTTTTTTTAAGTTCGCTACTAATTCCTATTAATGATAGGAATTTTAAGATGTTTTTTTTTAGGAATTTTATTGTGTATATGTCCAGGAAGTATTTTATTAGAAGGAGACCTGCTGGAATATTTTTTAAAAAGTTTTTTTTCGTTCTGTAAGATAACTGAGATTTTTAAATTCAATGTAAATTAATAATGTAAATTATCATATCATTTTAATTAATTTAAATGATTATAGTTTACATAAATCTTCGCATTATTTCTTTTATAATACACAAAACATGTAATGCGCGGTTCCACCTGGAAACTATCATGGTTAATTCCTGATGAATTCATCATGATGGGCTAATTGGCCTGTTTTCATTCTCATCTGTCACCCTTCACTGGTGCTCCGTTAGCGTATCCCGTTAGCGCAGGCGGGGTTACCATTCCATTTTCACCCATAAAAAAAAACACATATATAATGTGAAGCTGACTAGCCCACACGAAGAAAAGTGGTAACAGTCACCAATGGACATGAATAGCACCATTGATATTACAGAATATAATGTCTTTTAAAAACACATCCAGGAATTGAAAATAGCATTCCATCTACAAAAATTTCTATAAAAATTGTTGATAATAGATTTTTTCTCTCGCGCCAAAAGTCAGAATATTTTAAATGACCACTTTCTAGGTTTTTTTTATGGATGATAATGGAATGGTAATCCCGCCTACGCTGACGGTATATGCAGGCGAGGCACCGGTGAGGGATGATAGGTGAGGATAAATGGGCAGGTCAGTTAGCCCATCGTGATGAATACACCTGGAACTTAGCCCAATGATTTCCAGAGCCCACGTGGAGGTCAACCTGACAGGGTATATTGCTGGCAATGGGACTAGTACTGAACGCATTACTAATAATCCCTTCTTCCCCCAACTTTCTAGGTTTGGCGTGGCTGATCATTCCTGGAAAGTGGTCGTTTTTCCTTGGCAGTATAATGATTGTACCGTGGCGCGCTTTTGTCTGGGCCTGGTGTGCGCCAGGACTGATGGCGGCTATCGCATTACTGTTCCTGCCTGAAAGCCCTCGGTACCTGTTGGCTGCAAAAGGCCCTGATGCTGCGATGTCAGTACTGGCGAAGATGTATGCTTGGAATCGTGGTGCTTCGGTTGACAATTTTCCAGTAAGTATTTGCTTTTTTTATGTATATATATATCGCGCTTGTAAATTACATTGTTAATGGATTTATAAATATTACATCTTCATATCATATATATATATATATATATATAGAAGAAAGAAAGATAGAAGAATCATATATTTATATGATATATGATTCTTCAAGTGGAAGGTAAATAGCTAACTTTTGGGTAAGCACACTTCAATTTGGGTCTTACGTCATTTGCATCAGGTGAGGCAAGACCTATATAGAATAGGTTTTTTTATGCAACTTAGTATGGCAAACAAGCTGATAGTTCACTCCATAGAAAGTGGTAACCGTCGCCTATAACTGTCGCGTATAGACATGAGCAGTACCATGGATATAACAGAGTTTACTGTTTCGCCCATGACACCTCCCATGCGTTGCCATTCCTGAGGACTCGGGTGTTATTCCTCTGTACCCTGTACATTCACTGCCATATCCATATCCACCCTTTAAACCGAAACACAGCCATGCAAACACAACTGCTTCACGGTAGAAAGAACGAATGGGACAGAGGTACTCAAGGAAAGGACTTTGTACAAAGTCTCACTCTGGTAAAAAAGTACCGGCCTCAAAATGGGCGCAACAGTATAGTCTGTTATGTCTATAGTACTGCTAATATCTATAGGCGACGGTTACCACTTTCCATCAGGTGGGCCGTCAGCTTGTTTTCCATTCTGAGTTGTATAAAAAAAAAAATTAAAAACCGTAATTTTTTTTTATTTTCTCTCAGGTGGAGAAAATATTGACAATGAGTGTGGAGTCACAGAAAACAGGTTTCGTCGGCGCCCTCAAGAACATAAGTCTAATGTTCAGACCACCTCTGCTGCGATGTGTGCTCATCTCACATATATCCATGTTTGCAGTTTTCATGCTGTTAGTAACGTATCGTTTGTTTTTTTTTAATGAGTGATTATGATATGGTAACCCCACCCGCGCTATCGGTATACACTGGCGGGGCACCAGTGAGAGATGACTGATGAAGATGAAAGTAGGCCAGTTAGCCCATCCTGACGAATTAAACTAGAATTAGCCACGATGGTTTCCAGGGGGAACCACGTGGAGGTTGACCTGACAGGGTACATTGCTAGTAATAGGGCTATTTGACTTCATTATTAACAATCCCTTTCCCCCAAGTAATGTATAGTTACCAAGGTTTTTGTTTACTATACCACTAAGGCGGCAATCAAGGATATTAAGCCCACCTTTTTTTTATGCAACCTAGAATGGCAAACAAGCTGACGGCCCACCTGATGGAAAGTGGTAACCGTCGTCTATAGACATAAGCAATACCATGGACATAATAGAGTATACTGTTACGTTCATGATACCTCCCATTCGTTGCCATTCCTGAGGACTCAAATGTTATTCCTCTGTACCCTGTAAATTCACGCCATATCCCACCCTTCAAACCGAAACACAGCCATGCAAACACAACTGCTTCACGGTAGACACACGAATAGGACAGAGGTACCTAAGCAATCGACTTTTGTACAGTCTCCCTCTGGTCTCTATGTCTCTATGTTTTTAAAACACTGTTATTGGCACTGTAAGATCTATTGTTCAAAAATTGTAATGTATGTTGTGTAATTTATTTAGTAAATGGCTGTTTGTTGGCATAAATAAATAAAAAAAATTGTTCCAATTTATTAAAATTTGTCAAAATTGTTCCAGCTCGAGTGGCTTGTATGTATGGGTGCCGGAAATTTTGAACAATATCCTCCAAAGTACCAGTGAACGCAGCATTACGATCTGCGAAATTATCCACGAGAAGATAAGAAAGGAAAGGGAATTGACTGTAAGCCATCAGTAAGATAGACACGTTTTAATAGATCAGTTATATCAATGTGGACCGGGTCGTGGCATCATCGTCGTCATTTCAGCTATTCTAGATAGATAGATAACCTTTATTACCAGTATTAAGAAAATAAAAAATTAAAACAACAAAAAAAAAAAAAAACAATTAATGTTGCTGGTAATAGGAGCCGCCTCAGCTGTTGCTATATATGTACAGCTCCAGCGAGATGTACCTATATTATAGCGCTGATTTTCAGGCGGCCCCTTAACTCCTTTACCTTTAGCATGCGTGTGGGTCGCCATTACCTATTTCTCGGTTGGGAGACTCGACACTCTTAACAACAAATACATAAAACATTACAACAAATACATAAAACTATCCGTCCACTGCTGGACATAAGCCTCCCCCATAGACTGCCATAAAGAACGGTCCTGAGCCACCTGCATCCACTGACTTAGTGCAGTGCAATGCATTTCAGGTCGTCACTCCATCTAGTGGGGGACCGTTGGGCTTCCTATATTATGGTTGAACACAACGATGTCCGGCTTATTCGTCATACTCGTTAACGGGTACTTCTAGTAGGTACTGGTCTGTTCGAGAATGCTGTGATTGATTGTAGTTTAGTATTTTTTTATTTCTTTCTAACATAAGTATGTGATAGTCATTTTACCTATTTATATATTTTTTTGTTGTAATCTTAACTTTTATTTGAAAAAAAAGTATCAGCTATGTTTCTTACACCTTTTACTGGTACTTTGCCAGTATAAACCAATGGTGCAGGCGATGGCAGGGGATTCAGAATCATACAACCGTTAACTGTCAATTGCTGAATGTAGACTTTCCCCATAAGGGAGGGTTTTACCAGTAGCTACCACTCTTGGATGGCACATTGGCAACCGTTTGGCTGTTTGGCTTTACTAATGTTTTAAGAGAAACGCTGCTGTACATCTTTCGATCATTAAGTTCACTTTATATAAGATTATTTATAGTAAAAGCTCCTTATTCACGCTTCCTTTATTTGCGTCTTCACTACTACTTCACTTCGCGGATTAAAAAATTGCGACCCAATTCCTATATTCGCGGCTAAAGATTCCTATATTCGCGGATCTAATCGGTACATATTATTAAAAAGGATTATGTGTCCTTTGTAAATATCGTGTCGGCAAACAGACTAATAAAAAAGTAAAACAGACTTTATTACAACTATGTCTAGAGTACGTTGTCAAATGCTATCGCCGTTGTATTAGTGGTTCGGTTTTCTATATTCACGGTTTCTATATTCGCGGCATATTTACGGAACGTATAAGCCGTGAATAAAGAGCTTTTACTGTATATTATTTTGATACATTATTCAATACATTTTGTATGACAGCTTCAGGTCAACAGCACGTGCACAACGGACGTGTCGGTGGGCGTGTTTCCCATATCTATGGGGATGGGACTCGTGTTCGCACTAACGTACTTCGCCATTGGTTTGTTTATAAACAAGATTGGCAGGCAGATATTGTACTGTAAGTATTTTATCCATCTATTACGATAGTAGGTCCCATATGGGCAAAGAGAACTGAGTGACAATCACATCTTGGGTGTATTTATTTCAACACAGAATAGAATAAAATGTTAACACCTGAGTCCTCAGGAATGGCAACGCGTGAGGCGTATCATGGGCGAAACAGTATACTCTGTTATGTCCACGGTACAGCTCATGTCTATAGGCGACGGTTACTATCCATCAGGTGGGCCGTCAGCTTGTTTGCCATTTTGAGTTGCATAAAAAAAAGAGTCGCATCCAGCCATCTGTACGTTCAGATCTATCAAACTAAGTGACGGATTTGAATGCGGTTTTTAGCAATAGACAGAGTGTTTTAAGACGAAGTTTTAATATATTGTATATAGAAGACATACATATAATAGCAAGGATTAGCCATGCGAAGTCAGGGCTCTTAATATAATTCTTGCTTGCTTAATAAACTCTTGAATTTTCGTTTTTGCTCTCGTCGATTTGGGAACGAATTTTTTGAATAAACATAGGTTGTGTTTTGTAAAATGTAAATGCTTCAAAATGTTTGTTGTCATAGAACTCGGAATGGTTTGATGGCAGATGTTCGGTGCGTAATAAATTTTCTGTTTCGAACTACCAAGTTGATATTCTTGAGGGCGGAGATGTTTGGGCGATAATGGAATGGTAGCACCGCCCGCGCTATCGGTATACGCCGACGAGGCATCAGTGGAAAATGATAGGTGATAATGAACGCAGGTCTGTTTGCCCACCATGATAACTTCGACAAGAATTAACCATGATGGTTTCCAGGGGGAACCGCGTGGAGGTCGACCTGCTAGAGTATATTGTTACCAATGGGGCTATTAGACCACATTACTAACAATCCCTTTCCCACCTGAAAAAGCAGGTCAGTTAGCCCATCGTGATGTATACGCTTGGATACCAGCACGATGGTTTCCAGAGGGGACCACGAGAAGGTCGATCTGGTTGGGTATATTGCTAGCAATAGGACTCTTAGTCTCTATTACTAATAATCCCTTCCCCCAGTATACTGTGCTGGGGTATGATAAAGGAGGTTGGAATCAGGTCAGTTGGCCAATCATGATGACTTTACCTGGAACTACCGTGTTGGTTTTCAGATCAGATTCTCCCCCTGACATCCATTACCCTAACTAGTATATATAAATAGCGCAAGCAGAATTACCATTCCATTTTCATCTCTTAGGCGTTTCATTCTTTGAATTTTTTTACAACACAGAGGATAAACGAGATGGTAAGTGACTGGCGTCGCCAATGATCACCCACAACACGAACGGCATTGCTGGTGTGCTGCCGGCCTTTTAAAAAGGAATATGCTCTTTCCTTGAAGGTTATGATGTCGTATCGGTTCAGAAATACTGCTGCTGGATGTTGATTCCAAAGAGTGGTTGTGCGTGGAAGATCAATAGTGTTGTTCCTTCATTCTCGCTCTATGCTGCAAAGTTAGTTTGCGGAAACCATAACTGTGCGCGATTAGTATGTGAAGAAACTTGATCTAGTGTGTGAACCATGTTAAATATAAGGAAGTCTCCGTGTGGTAATGGTATGGTTATGGCTGTGGGCAGGTGGTATAATGGTGTGCTGTGGCGTGGCGACGGCGGGCGCGGCGCTGGTGCCGCAGGGTGGCGCGGCGACCGCGCTGCTGGTGGCGGCGCTGTGCTCGGGCTGTGCCGCCTCCATTCTTGCTGCCATCGCCGTGGACGTCTTCCCCACCTGTTTACGGTTAATATTCATTTAGAATGGCAAATATGCGGTCGGCCCACCTGATGCAGTGTGGCAATCGTCTATAGGGGGGAAGGATTGTTAGTAATGCGGGTTATCAGTCCCATTTGAATCCCATCAGGTATTGCAGGTGTTCATAGGCTACGGTAACCACTTACCATCAGGTGGGCCGTATGCTTGTTTGCCACCTCAGTGGTATAAAAAAAATTTAATAGTAATACACCCTGTCAGGTCGACTTCGAAGTGGTCCCCCCTGAAACTCGTGATTAATTCTTGTTGAATTCGTCACAGTGGGCTAACTGATCTGGTTTCATCCTCACCTATTACCACTCACTGGTGCCCCGCTTGTATATACCGACAACACAGACGGAACTACTATTCTATTATCATTTAAAAAAACCTTCTATAGGGTGGGGGGAAGGGATTGTTAGTAATGAGGTCTAACAGTCCCATTGCTAGCAATATACCTTTACAGGTCGACCCCCACGCAGTTCCCCCTGGAAATCATGATTAATTCTTTATGAAATCGCTACTATAGAACCAATTGACCTGTTTTATTTTCACCTATCATCCCTCACTGGTGCCCTGCCAGCATATATCGTTAGCACAGGCGGGGCTACCGTTCCGTTATCACCCATTAAGAACACTCCATCAGGGATGGGGAAAAGGGATTATTAGTAATGGGGTCAAATAGCCCCATTACTAGCAATATACCCTGTCAGGTCGACCTAGAATTAGCCACGCATGGTTCCCCGTGGAAACCATCGTGGCTAATTCTAGTACAATTCGTCAGGATGGGCTAACTGACCTGCTTTCATCCTCATTAGTCATCTATCACTGGTGCCCCGCCATTGTATATCGATAGCGCAGACGGGGTTACCATACCATTATCACCATTATGCTTTCAGTTACATTGGTTCCGTATTAATATATATATATATATATATATATATATATATATATATATATATATATATACTAGCTAACCCCGTAAACGTTGTTTTATTATTACCATACCTTACATACCATACCATACCATACATACCACTTATTGCGAAATATAAAAATCGCGATTAAAATACAGGGGTTGATCGTAAAACGATAAAAATTTAAAGTTGTGTGTATTTTTCAATGCTAAATAATAATAAAATAAAAATGGAAAAATTTGTTAAAAAAAGAAAATTTTTTTTGTTTTGGGGAGGGTCACCCTTATCATTGAGGGGTATGAAAAATAGATGTTGGCCGATTCTCAGACCTACCCAATATGCACACAAAATTTCATAAAAATCGGTAAAGCCGTTTCGGAGGAGTTTGGTAACAAATACCGTGACACGAGAATTTTATATATAAGATACTCATACATGGTTATTTTTTAATTTCTTTTTTTTACGTAATTTTTTTTATTCCTTGCAGGGCTATGGCAATGTGTGTGATGTACATGGTGGGGCGAACGGGGGCAGCTGTGGGCTCTTATGTGTTAGGCGCTACTCTCAACACATACTGTCTGACAGTTTTCATAGCCTTAGGAGCGTTCACTGCAGGTGAGTTTTTTGAGTTTATTCATTACAAACTAGTACATTCATCAATTCCTCAATTATAATTGAATATAACTGCATTTTAATTGACATTTAATGATTTTTTTTATTGCTTTATAAATTTAAAAGGCATCAACTCTAAAAGCCCCATCTGTTGTCTAAACTCTTTGCACTGTACTATTATCGAAACATTTTGGGTGCCATTTGTAATTTCCACTAATGTTCTAGTTTTTGAACCGACTTCCAAAAAGAGGTTCTTTATTCGGCTGTATTGTTTTGTGTTTGTTCTCATAACTCTATCAGTTCTGAACTGATATTTGATATATTTTAAAAATGCCTTTTACATAAACAAAGCGACACTGTTAACGAGTAACAGGGTTTGTATTTTATATTTATAGCCTATGTCCTTCTCCATCTATATATATATATATATATATATATATATATATATATATATATATATATATATATATACATATATATACATATATATATATATACATATATATGTATATATATATATATATATATATATATATACTATATATATATTTTGAGCCAGTATCCGCAATAGGATGTATTTGCCTCCAACTTGCTGGAGTTCGTCGAGTGACCACAGAGTATTTGTGTTCAGACTTTTTTTTGTTACAGTTAAGTCTTTTTATATTATTCTTGTTATATATGTGTAATATTCCTTTTTTTAATATGTTATTGTACTCATGCCTTCCTGGGTGAGGGTATTGGAAGACTGTAAGGCTCACCCAGAGGATGTAATAAATAAATAATATATATTTAGGGTCGAGAGACAAACAAACTCACTTTCATATTTATTATTTAGACTAGTATAGTATTATATTATATTAGTAAGGATTGGTTTAATTTTCAGGTTCGACGCTCCTTATTTTATTCTGGCCAAAGCCGGAGGAAGTGAGAGAGAAGATGGAAGAACAGGGATTAACATATTAAATATATATTTAACATCATAAGTAAAGGGCACAATAGATGTGCGCGTACCCATATAGGTATATAATATATAATTTTTCTAATTAGGTACCTATATTTAGGTATCTAAGTAGAAAAATAATTACTGCTGACTTTGGTCTACTGCTGCGTGAACAAAGAATGTTGCCTAAAAACGGACGGACACTAGAGGGCGACACTCATACGTATGTCTTATACCGTTAATGGCTGTTTTGATGGGTGAAAATGGTATGGTAACCCCGCCTGCGCTAACGGGATACGCTGGCGGAGCACCAGTGAAGGGTGATAGATGAGAACAGTTAGCCCATCATGATGAATTCATCAGGAATTAACCATGATAGTTTCCAGGGGGAACCGCGAGGAGGTCGACCTGGTTGAGTATATTGCTAGCAATGGGATTCTCAATCTCCATTACTAACAATCCCTTTCCCCCTACGTTAATGGCTACCACAGTAGTCCATTGTTGGACACGTGCCTTTCCTAAGACAAACAAGTAAATTATGGTAATATTTACATTTTTTATGGAGACTGCAATTTTTTTAGAGATCTACCAACGTCAAGTCAGTTATAGAGGTAACGTGGAGGAAAATATAATTGTATGAATAAATAAAAAAAAATACCATTAATTTTAAATTAATAATGTATGGATTTGATGAAATAGATCTGTTTAAATTTGTTTATTTCTGTTATAAAAAAATCTAATTTTCATACAAGTATTTTCATTTAGAAAAAGTCATAGATATAATTTTGAATCTATGATTATATCTAATTTTAATATATTCTGTATTTATTACCCATAGATAATAACTATTCTTTATCTATGTTTTTTTTTATATTATAAATGTTATATTACTATTTGGGCAAAACAGAAAAATACATTCCCAAAAATGAATCAGCAAATATTAAGACATGTCTTTTAACTTTATATAATTTATTTAAATGCCTTTTTTGGTATTTCACTAATATAATACGTTAAAAGTATTTTTATTCTCTATTTTTATAATAGTTTTTTTTTTTTATACAACTTAGAATGGCAAACAAGCTGACGGCCCACCTGATGGAAAGTGATAACCGTCGCCTATAGACATGAGCAGTACCGTGGACATAACACAGTATACTGTTTCGCCCATGATACTCCCCCATGCATTGTCATTCCTGAGGACTCAGGTGTTATTCCTTTGTACCCAGTAAATTCACGCCATATCCCACCCTTCAAACCGAAACACAGCCATGCAAACACAACTGCTTCACTGTTGAAACACGAATGGGACAGAGGTACCCACGTAATCGACTTTTTTTACAGTCTCCCTCTGGTAAAAGTTGTAAGTAGGTACTTAACTGACACTCAGTCTGTGAACCCAGTTGCCTCGAATAAGGTGCTTTGATAAAAATATATACGATATAAGAATATATCGAATTATAAATAATAAATGAAATATATGGAACTGAAATTTTGCTGACTGAATTTTGATGCTATAATTTTATGCATTAAGTGTTTAAGGATTTATTGGTTACACAGTTAATAAATTTTGTAATTTTATAAGAAATAAAAGTTTATTTTATATTTTGTACATATTCATTTTAGTGCCCTCTAGTAGTTGTATCAGTAAGTTTTTACAGTCTTATTCCTAAGAACGAGGACTTCTTATTCACTCCTATGACGAGTAGTTATAGATACAAGTTACAGATGGCGCTTTTTAATTATTTTATGTTACTTAGAAATTTAAACAAGTTGACTGACAGCTCACTTAATAAAATCGGAGATCATCGTTTGCAAATTTATGATTTTTTCACGAGATGCTTGGTCCTTTAAAAGATATCGTCCTGCGTAATCGGCATACGTTGTAGGGGTACCAGTAGGAGGTGATGAATGAGTCCACATGAATTAACGATGGTTTCCAGGGGGAACCATGTGGAGGTCGACCTGATACATATATTGCTAGCAATAAAGCTGTTAGATTCCCATTAAAGAAAAATATTTTCCCCTAAATAAATGAATAAATATAAAAAAAGCAATAACTAATTCTGATCATAAATAGAACAAAGTTTTTTTGACTAAAAACAATGATATTTTACATTGCAGTAAAAACTTACGCTCAGAAAATAATTGAAAGTAATGATCCTATTTTTATTATTGGATATGGTGGCATAACATCATAGTTTTTTTTTTATACAACTTAGAATGACAAACAAGCTGACACTCGTTTGACGGAAAGTGGTAACCGTCGCCTGTAGACATGAGCAGTACCATGGACATAACAAAGTGTCCATTCCTGAGGATTCAGGTGTTATTCCTCTGTACCATGTAAATTCACTGCCATATCCCACCCTTGAAACCGAATTTCACGGTTGAAACACAAATGGGACAGAGATACCGAAGCAAACGACTTTAAATTGTGCAGAATGGCATCGAATAAGGCATACCATGGACGTAACAGAATATTTTGTACAGTTCATGCTTATAGTCGATGTTACCACTTTTCTTCAGGTGGGCTGTCAGCTTGCTTGCCATTCTAAGTTGCGTACAAGAAGTTGCACTTCTGGCATTTTTAATAGGTGAGATTGGAATGGTAGCCTTGTCTACGCAATCGGTATACACTGAGGGGCGGGGGAGGCAAAAAGTGACATATAAAAGGTGAGGATAAAAGTAGATCAGTTAGCCCATCGTGACGAATTCTAATTCACAATAGTTACCACATGGAATCGCCTGGTCGTTGACCTGATAGGGTATATTGCTAGCAATGAGGCTGTTAGACCCCATTACTAACCCGCCCCTCGGGGGGGGGGGGAAGGATTGTTGTGTCGCCATGGGCCAACTGATCTGACTTCATCCTTACTTATCATCACTCACTAGTGCCCTGTCAGTGTATACCGATAGCACGGGCGGGGTTACCATTTAATTATCATCCATTAAACCCCCCACTCCCCGAGCTTGCGGCATTTATCTCTGACTGTGTCCAACGAGGTGTCAAAACAGGAAAATCTAAAAAAAAATAACTATTAACTGCTAATGACACAAACTAGACCAAAGGGTTGACAAATGGTCTTCATTATTTAACGATCAAGTTAATGATATTTCGATTGTCACCAGCTTATGACGGACGGTCCGTTAGTTCACGCTTTTTTTTTGTTTCCACTGAACTTCTATTCCCTGCTTACAGTTAACATAATATTTAAGTAAAGTAATTTTTTTTCAGTGTTGTTTTTAGTATAGGCGTTAAAAGCCTATTGATTTATCATCATCAACATTTCAGCCATTATCCGTCCACTGCTGGACATAGGCCTCCCCCATAGACTGCCATAAAGAATGGTTCTGGGCCACCTGCATCTACTGACTCCCTGCAATGCATTTCAGGTCGTCACTCCATCTACTGGGGGGTTGTCTTACATTGCGTTTGCCCGTACGCGGTCGCCACTCAAGAACATTTCTTCCCCATCGGTTATCGGTTCTTCGAGCTATGTGACCAGCCCATTGTCATTGGTTTATACTAGCTATTTATCACCATGATGTTTCTAATGGTCTGGTACTGGGGGGAAAGGAATTGTTAGTGATGAGATTTAACAGCCCCATTGCTAGCAATACACCCCATCATACACGCGGTTCCCCCTGGAAACCATAGTGGTTAATGATTGTGTAATTGGTCACTATGGGCCAACTGACCTGCCTTCATCCTCATTTGTGACCCTTCACTGATACCCCGCCTGTGTATACCGATAGCGCAGGCGGAGTTGCCATTCCATCTTCATCCATTAAAAAAATGGTCTGGTGCTGGGGGGAAAGGGATTGTTAGTGATGAGATTTCACAGCCCCATTACTAGCAATATGCCCTATTAGGTCTACCTGCACGTGGTTCCCCATGGAAACCATCGTGGTTAATTCTAGTGCAATTCGTAATGATGGGTTAATTGACCTGCTTTCATCGTCACCTATCATCCCTCACTGGTGGCCCGCCGGCGTATACCGATAGCGCGGGTGGGGTTACCATCCCATTATCACCCATTAAAAAAACCTTTGAATGCCTGCAATACCAGGGCCATATGCGTGTGTTGCCGACCCTTGGGAAACCTCTCTGCCTCTTTTTTGAAAAACCCCATGCTGTAGTCTCTTGAAGAAACCTCGATAACGAGCTCATTCCATAACCTGAGCGTTCGTGGGAGGAATCATCTTTGAAATTGGTAGACATTTTTTTACCCAAGCAAGCGAATTTTATAGAACACATAACTTGATCCCTTTGTCAAATGTTGTACAAATTATATTATTTAGTCAAATTTTCTCCTTTTCTACATTAATGGCAACAAGTCACTATTTATGATAGATACAGTTATGTATTGTACCATTGTGAAATCTACTTGAAACAGACATTATTTTAAAATTATTTATACATTTTTTTTTATACTCAAGAGGTTTGAACTTTGCTTAAAACATATTTTTCTTTGCATATTTTTAAAAAAATAAATTAGTTTGCGTATTAAAAAAAAAGAACTGCAATAGCTAATATATATATACTATTCACTTTCTATCTATCAGCACAGTTAGTGTATAATAATAAAACAACAAAAAACCAATAGAATTCATTCATTTCTGGTCATAGTGATCAGGACAGTAAAATAAGATTTGACTTTTCTTTAAATTTAAGATAACAAAGGTACGGTTACTTATGATATATTTTGTTTCGTATTTTTTTTTAGGATGGCCATAAGTTGAACTATAAGACGTTTCAAGATTATCCATTCATTACCGGACACCCTGTATATGTACATATATATATATATATATATATATATATATATATATATATATATATATATATATATATATATATATATATATAAATTACACATTCACTTATATATAAATTTCATTTAGGCATTTGAGCATAAAGAAGAAATAAAGAGATCTATTGCTACAAAAACACCTCGCAATTTTCTTATTTCCATTTAAAAGGAAAATATATAAAGTAAGATGCTTGTTGTTCTTAGAAATGGCAACAGTACCAGACGGATACTATGAGCATTGCAGTGTGATCTGTGATTTTTAAGATATACCGTATAAATAGACAATGGTTACCGTCGTCAAGAGGGCCGCTAGCTCTTTTAATATTCCTGTCGCTAAAAAAAAAAATTAAATATCTTCACGCCACGTCTCTGAGTAAATATTCTACAAAAACTTGGTCTAATCACAACATAAAACTCCAATCTCGAGATGTTGTGATAAACATTTTATGACAAAATAATAGTGGCTAGATATCAGCAAGAAAAAAAAAAAAGGGAAATTATTAAAAAAGGCACCCGCAGGTAGGGAATCTCTAATGGTATAATATTACTGAAGAATCCGGGATGGACACTTGTCTACGAGGCTGGGAAGATATTTTGAGTTTAGGCTTGTAGGTATTTTGTATAAATAAAAATACGTTATTTTTTTTTTTTTCATTTAACAGTTTCCTCTTGTCGGTGCAACTAATTCACGCATCTTTCTCCAGCCAGCTCTATCCCAGGCCATATCCTTGACCTCCCTATACGACATGACGCCTAGTGTTTCTTTTATCTGTCCCATGTAGTTATTCCTCGGTCTTCCTCTACCTCCTTTGCCCGCTATTTAAAGCATTTAAAGTAAAGCCATATTGAAAACATTGGCGAGTTAATTATGTTATAAATGTAAAAGAGAATAAATATGGGAAAAAGGGATTCTTAATGGATGATAATGAAATGGTAACCCCGTCTACGCCAACGGTATACGCTGCCGGGGCACCAGTGAGGGATGATGACGGGTGAGAATGAAAAGGCAGGTCAGTTAGCCCATCGTGATGAATACATCTGGAATTCAGCATGATGGTTTCTAGGGGGGACCATGTGGAGGTCGACCTGACAAGATATATTGCTAGCAATGGGACTGGTAGTCCGCATTATTAACAATCCCTACGGGGAAAAAGGCATTATTAGTAGCTAGCAATATGCCCTATCAAGTCGACTTCCACGCAGCTTTCCC